TCCTGTTGTACACAGGGTGACTATGAGTTGGAACTGACTTGACAACACCTAACAACATATTCTGTACCTTCCACACTTCAATTATTAATGGACATTTGCAGTTGTTTCTTCCCATTTTGAGTTGTACCCTATCAACAAATGAAGGTCCTGAAAGGTTTACTCCAACCACATCATTAAGGTTGCCTCTCCTTTGAGGAGGCAGCTCTTCCCCAACGTTCTGAGTGCATTCCAAACTGAGGGACTTATCTTCTGGCACTTTATCTGACATAGCTTTACTGCTATTCATAAGGTTTTCAGTGGCTAATTTTTTCATAAGTGGACTGCCTCTTTCTTCTTCCTAATTAATCTTAATCTATAAATTCTGCTGAAACCAGTCTACCAATGGGTGATCCTGCTGGTATGTGAAATACTGGTGGCATAGCTTCTAGCATCACAGCAACACACAACCCACCACAGTACAACAAACAGATGAGTGGTGGGTATATATATTACATATTATACATATATTATGTGTGTGTATATATATGTATATGTGTGTGTGTGTGTGTGTGTGTGTATATATATATATATATATATGTATGTATGTATTTTAGAAGGCAGACCCCTTAAAGGCCAGATCTATGTATATATTATTTTCCCTTATGTAGCATTTGGTTCTGTGCATCAAATAAGGAATTTGTATATCTGATGCTAAAATAATTGGTGATTTCTGAGTATGGCTTCATTGAGTAGTTTTTAAAAAAACAGATACTCATTACATAACTCTTTTTCACTAATGAAATAAAATGATAGTTGTTTTAAACATGAATATCAAAAAGTCACTCGAGTATAGAACTATCTTAGTAAAATTCTGGGAAATACCCACTGGTAGAACTAGAAGAGCCTGGGTTAGTTAATTTTTTTTTTTTTTTTCAGAGGCAGCAGAATTACTTTATGTCATCCTTTTCATTTTCCAGCATCTAGAATACTACTATGTCAGTTACAAAAGAGAAAAGTAAGGTGGGAGTGAAGTTGCTTAGATTTTATAGTCTTTTGCTTTTGCCCTTATAGATGGTTGGGCAATCCTACTTCCGTAGTGATACTGCCTCGGAAACCCAAGGAGGGGTCGCTATGAGTCAGGGCTGACTCGACGGCACATAACAACAACAACAACTTATAGATGGTTAATTAGTAAGTTTCATTAATATTTGAGGCTTTGCCTGGAAAACATAGGATTATTATTAATAATAATTATTGCTATTATTAATTACAATTCTTGAGAACTAATGAGATTTGTCCTGCTGGATTTTAGACTTGCTTAGTACTCATTACCCCATCTTTCCCTCCAATTTCTCTGTTTCTGAATGGGAATGCCTACCTTGTGTCTGTTCTACCCACTGTATTTTAGAAGCAGGTAATTTGTATTCGAGGTCTCACAGCTCCACAGAGGGAAAGGAATTTTGCCCTGGGATGTGCAAAATATACCCAGAGTCTCACCCACACTTGATTTAGAAGATGAGCTTTTGGATTTAAAGTTGATACTGAATGAGTTAAGCCTTTTGGGGATGATATGACATGGAATGTTTTAGTATATGAAAAGGACATGAATTTGGGAGACCAAAGGATGGAATGTCATGGACTGAACTGTATCCCCACAAAATACACGTGTTAATTCCTGTTCGATATAACCCTATTTGGAAATAGGGTTTTTCTTTTGTTATATTAATGAGGCCATAGTAGTGTAGGGTATATCCCAAACCTAATCATTTACAAGTTACAAAAAGACCAGAACAAGTACAGCAACACCTGCACAGAAGGAGATCAACAACAAAGACAGATGCATCTATGAGGATTGCTGGCAGCTACCAGAAGCTAAAATAGACAAGGATTTAGAGATTTAGATTTAGAGCCAAACCACGAATTCAGACTTCAAGACTTCTGAATTGTAGAAAATAAACTGTCTATAAAGACATCCATTTGTTCTATTTGTGTTATACTAGCACCAGGTACTTAAGACAGTCACTGAAACAAAACTTTAAGAAAAACTTACCTGAACTGCACAACCCAGTATAAGTAAAAGCAGCTTTTTAACTTCTTCTGTGCCTTGTTCTGAAATAAAAACAATTACAAAGTACAACATTTTGTTCTATTTCAACTCTCTTTCTTATCATGTTGGGGGAATAACTCCTAGAGATAGTACTCGCAACAACCTGACCAAAGGATTAAGCCTATAAGGAAATAAAGTAAACAATTCAAAAAAGCAGATGGGTATGTGTATGTATGTGTGTGAGCATGTATTGTGGTGGTGCTTATAGGCAAGGATCTCAGTTGTGAAGTACAGTTATATAAAATAGACTTCAGACTTTGTGCAGTAAGTATTCCATCTATAAATATACCCCCTTTCCAGAAACAATTACACTACAACAGCCTAACAAATTCAGTACTACTAACAGACAGGCAGGAGCTCTGATAGAGTAATGCCTAAGGCACTTGACTGCTATCCAGAAACCTGGTGGTTCAAACCCAGCAGCCACTCCTCGGAAGGAAGATGGGGCAATCTACTTCCGTAGTGATACTGCCTCGGAAACCCAAGGAGGGTCCGACTTGATGGCATATAATAACAATAAGCTTAAAAGAAGCCAGACTTATTAGGAGTCCTTTTGGCTGACTTTGTGGCATGCCTTTATATTGTTGTTGTTATGTGCCGAGTCGGACCCGACTCATAGGGACCGCTCCTTGGATTTCCGAGGCAGTATCACTACGGAAGTAAATTGCCCAATCTTCCTTCCGAGGAGTGGCTGGTGGTTTTGAATAGCTAGCCTTCTGGTTAGCAGTCAAGTGCCTTAGGCACTACAATACCAGAGCCCCTTAACTGTGTTATAAAAACCAAAACCAAACCCACTGCCACTGAGTCGAATCTAAATCACAGCAACCCTTCCTTGGGTTTCCAAGGCAGTATCACTACAGAAGTAGATTGTCTAACCTCCCTCCTGAGGAGTGGCTGGTGGGTTTGAACCGCCAGCCTTCTGGTTAGCAGTAAAGTACCTTAGGCACTACACTACCAGAGCTCCCAAGCCTATTAGTGTTTCCTTTCTAAAATAGAGATCTTATATGATTCATCTATCTATAAAATTTAAATGGCCTTCCACTGTGTAGATTCATGAAGATCAAAATCTTAAATATCTGCTACAGTGAGCTATATTCAAATGTATGTAAAACACTGGATAAAAGCTAACGTCGGTAACAGAACTGGGGAGTACATGCTCTGTTCAACAGTATTCAATCTAGATTCTCTAAAGTATTCAGCTAGCCAAAAAGAGGTCACTTCTTTAAGCTAGAATTTCACCATCAGGCCTATCTATGACAAAGTTCAAACTCTCTTTTCAAACATTTCTTCCTATTGTCTACGAAACAACCAAACTTCTAGCTATAGCGAGCCACACTAATTACTACTCCCCAAATACACATACTATACACTCTTCTGCCTTAACTTCTGCTACTCCCTCTTTCTTCCATCATCCTTGTTCCCCCCTCCCAGTGACTCAAAAAAAAAAAAACAAACACCTCACTTCCATTAAACTGATTCTGACTCACAGCGACCCCCTTTGAGTTTCCAAGCCTGTAAATCTTTATGGAAGTAGATTGCCCAGTCTTTCTTCCACAGAGTGGCTGGTGGGTTTGAACTACCAACCTTCTGGTTAGCAGTCAATGTCTTAGGCAGTATGCCACCAGAGCTTCTTCCCTAGTGACAAGACTAATCATAACCACAGGCACAGTTCTAACACCTCTGTGTGTAGTCTTCTTTAATCCGACCACCAACGGTCCCCAACCCTCACTAATCTGCAAATTTTAAGAATAATTAATGGCTCCAAATTTGATCCTCCTTAACACTTTGTACAAGGAGTGTTGGTGGCATGATGGCACAATAGCATTTGGCTGCTAACTGGGGGTTGGCAGTTCAAACTAACCAGAAGTTCTATGGGAAACAAGACCTGGCAATCTACTCTTATAAATATTTGTTGTTGTTGTTGTTGTTATGTGCCATCGAGTTGGACCCGACTCATAGCGACCCCTCCTTGGGTTTCCAAGGTAGTATCACTATGGAAGTAGATTGCTCCATCTTCCTTCTGAGGAGTGGCTGGTAGGTTTGAAGCACCAGCCCTCTGATTAGCAGGCAAGTGCCTTAGGCACTGTGCTACCAGAGCTCCCTTATAAATATTAGAGCTTAGGAAACCCTATAGTGCAGATCTACCTTGTCCTATAGGGTCACTATGAGTAGAAATTGACTCAATGACACACAACAACATCTTTACATATCTCTGTTTTGTACTACTTGTTCCATAGTTTCCAGTAATCTGTATCTTTCTCATCAAACCACAAGATCCTCCAGTGTATGGATGAACCATTTACAAAGTAGATAATAAATGTAGGTGGAATTGAAAAGAATTATAACCAACCCAGAGTATTTCTAAAGATTATTTAAAGTCCTAATTCGTCTCATCTACTTGATAGCTCCCTTTATAAATATACATGCTTAACTTTAGCTTTTATTTGCATTTTATTTTTGTTTGTTTTGACCGAAGAAAGGATAGGGTTGGAAAAATATAGTTGATTCATGTAAGATGCAACCTATAAGGATAAGTCTACTGCTGAAACTGTTAGGTACCTGCTAATTTCTCCAATTGTTCAAAAATTAAAACCCTGAACGTGTCACATTTAAAATCTGTTAAAGGGCAGAAATATTTGGAGAAAATAATTTAAATGATTTCAGAAATTGCTTATCATCTTTACACCCAGAAATGGTTTAACATAAATTAAAAGATATCAATCAATTAGTAAAACTTTGAATTTAAACAACTTTCTCCATGGTAGTAGTATATGAACAAAAAACCTAGAAATTATTTCAAAATTATGTATTTTCTAAGTTTACAGTCTTTTATCCTTATAACTGCATTTTTATCTCCTGTATCTGTTATAATAATAAGACACAAAAACTTATTATAGATATGTATCAGTTTGGTGTAATAGAAAAGAACACTGGACTGAACGTAAAATACATGTCTGGCTCTACCTCCAATATACAAATATTCTAAGCTTCTTTTCTCTATATAAAATGGAACCTCACTTCCAACTTTCCTATGTTGTTGTTGTTGTTGTTGTTGTTATGTGCCCTCGAGCCGCACTTGACTCATAGCGACCCCTCCTTGGGTTTCCGAGGCAGTATCACTAGAGAAGTAGATTGCCCAACCTTCCTTTCCAGGAGTGGCTGGTGGGTTTGAACCACCAGCCCTCTGATTAGCAGTCAAGTGCCTTAGGCACTATGCTACCAGAGCTCCTTAACTTTCCTATGTTGTTGTTGTTATGTGCCATCGAGTGGGCCCCAACTCATAGCGACCCCTCCTTGGGTTTCCGAAGCAGTATCACTACGGAAGAAGACTGCCCAACCTTCCTTCCAAGGAGTGGCTGGTGGGTTTGAACCGCCAGCCTTCTGGTTAGCAGTCAAGTGCTTTAGCCACTATGCTACCAGAGCTCCCAACTTTCCTATAGGTTTGTGAAAAATCTATTTAGTTAATGTAAATGAGCAAGCTCTTGGTAAACAATATAAACCTAATTCCTCGCTTTCAGACTTTCTCATTATCTGACATTTCAAGCCTACGACAATAGTAAAATATTTACTATCTGAATATTTTGTACTTCAACAATGTACATCTGACAGTAATAAAGGCCAAAGTGTGAGGCAAGAGCAACACTGGTTGTGACAGTTAAGGTTATGTGTCAACTTGGGTGGGCCATGATTCTCAGGGGTTTGGCAGTTACACAATGATGCAATCATCCTCCATTTTATGATATGATGTGGCCACCCTCCATTTTCACATAACAATCTGGTCTTTGGAAACTAATCATACTGATAAGTGAGGAATGGGTATAGTATTTCACAAAGATAAGACACTGTTAACACATTATGCTTATTTTAATACTTACCAGAAAAGGGATTTTTGCCGATGATTAAGACATTTGGCAATGACATCATGATCAACTGCTGCAAAGTTTCCTGTAGAAAAACACTCCACAGTTGTTATATGGTAAATGTTGACTTTGTTGTAACTCATCAAGCTATAACTGAAGATCTGTATACTTCTTTGTAGGTATGCTTTGCTTTAATTAAAAAAATTAAGAGGAAAACAAAGATACCTAAGGTCTTAAATCTGTTCTAACTTTAGGGAATTAAATAATTAAAAGATAATGCCAGACGAACTTAAGATAATAATGTATAAAATGCCCTCAAAATAAAAGTATCCAAATTGAACTATTCTGATGTTTAATATTTGAAATCTGGGGTCTATATGTCTCAATAAAAGATCAAGCAAGTACACTCTTGTTTTTTGTTAAAAAAAAAAATGCCAACTAATATTAAAATTAAGAAAGTTACCTTATTAAAAAATCATGTCTTATGAACACATCTCATGGAAGTGAGCTCTTCCTCAGTAAATTATTTCTATCCTCTATCTACAATAGATGTTTTACTTCCTTTAACTTCTGTTAAATTTTTAATGAAAGAATCTATGCACATTCTGATAGTACAAGATGATTCAGAAATAAGTGAATGCTTTCAAAGGACTCATTTAAGGTAACACATGAAGTATGCACCTTCTGTTTACACCACCTCTTCCCTGATGAAATGAAGGAACACACTGTGCTTGCTATTTCAAATACTAGCAATGATACGCTACAAACAGTCTGGGATGAAATAAAAGTGCAAGATTGTTGAGTCTCATGGGATAAAGATTGATGGGTTTCATAGGATATTACTAAACCTTTGTAAGCGTATAGAAATAACTAACAGATTCTTTAAAAACTGGTTCCCACTATGTGCTCATATTTAACTAGCTAGCAAGGAGTAAGTTTTTTAAATTACTCAACTCTTTTTAATCATCTTTTATTTAATATTATGATAAGGAAGCAAATGGCCATGAAAAGGTAACTTGTACTGCATTTTATAGATGTGTAATTCTAGATTCCCCTCAATATAAGGAAAACAAAAATCCTCACAACTGGTCCAAAAAACAGCTTCAAGATGGATGGAGAAAAGACTGAAGTTGTCAAGGACTTCAGACTACTTGGTTCTACAATCAACACCAATGGAAGCAGCAGTCAAGACATCAGACAACGTATTCCATTGGGCCAATCTGCTGCAAAAGACCTCTTTCAAATGATGAAGAGCAAAGATGTCTCCTTAAAAACTAAGGTATACCTAACCCAAACCATGGTATTTTCAATCGCCTCTTATGCATGTGAGAGCTGGACAATAAATAAGGAAGATGGAAGAAGGGTCAATGCTTTTGAGTTGTGGTGTTCAAGAAGAATGCTAAGAGTGCCGTGGTATGCTAAAAGGACTAACAAATTTGTCTTGGAAGAAGTACAGCTGGAATGCTCCTTGAAAGTGAGAATGGTCAGACTTCGTCTCACCTACTTTGGTCATGTTGTCAGAAGGGACTGTTTCCTGGAGAAGGATAACATGCTTGGTAAAGTGGAGGGTCGACAAAAAAGGGAAGGCCCTCAAGGAGACACAGTGGGTGCAACAATGGGCTCAGGTACACCAAGGATCATGAGGCTGGCACAGGACCAGTGAGTGTTTTGTTCTGCTGTGCATAGAGTCGTTGAGTCGGAGACGACTTGACATCACCTGACAACAACAATAATTATTCTAGATTCACTGAAGGATTTTCCCATAGCCACTGGGTGGCATGATACTATATACTAATTAGATTTAACCTTTTGTCTGTAATTCAAAAAGTTTTAAAACTGTTTTACTTTACCATTTACTACAAAAACCAAACCCACTGCTGTTGAGTTGGATCTGACTCATAGCGACCCCTCTTTGGGTTTCCAAGGCAGTATCACTATGGAAGTAGATTGCCCAACCTTCCTTCCGAGGAGTGGCTGGTGAGTTTGAACCACCAGCCTTCTAGTTAGTAGTCAAATACCTTAGGTACTACGCCACTTTAAAGAACTATCACTGAAAAATATACACATTGAAAGAAAACTACATATTCAATGCATATCATGTTGCAATATTGTCAAAAATTGCTGAAATTACTTCCAGGATCAAAACAAAGTCTGCGTAACTGATAAATAAATTTTCCACTTAAAAGCAAGTTACCTCAGAATAAAATATGCTGTAGCTAAATATGCAAGACTGAAGTAGATTTAACTCATTCTAACTTTTAGTCTCTTTACCTTGCAGCAGAACAATGAAGACTAAAATGCAAATTAAAACCACAATGAGAATTCCACTTATAGGAAATATTTAAAATAGGCAAACGCATTGTTGTTGTTGTTGTTATGTGCTGTCGAGTCGGCCCCGACTCATAGCGACCCCTCCTTGGGTTTCCGAGGCAGTATCACTATAGAAGTGGGATTGCCCAACCTTCCTTCCGAGGAGTGGCTGGTGGGTTTGAACCACCTGCCTTCTGGTTAGCAGTCAAGTGCTTTAGCCACTATGCTACCAGAGCTCCTAGGCAAACGCATAGACAAAAAAATTTATTTAAGGCTTCCAGGGACTGAAAGGAGAAGGGAATGGGTGTTATTGCTGAAAGGACACTGAGTTTCTTCTTTGGGGTGATATAAAACTTTTGCAAATGAATAATGATGATGGTAGCATAACACGGTGAAAGTAAAGAATGTCACTAACTTGCACACCTAAAAATGGTTAGAATGCCACTCAGGAAATGATCAAATCTGGAGATCCTGGATGGGGTGGGAGGGAAAACGTGGAACAAAATCCAAAAACTCAATAATGACCGGAAGTATTGGTAGATGAAACTGGTGAGACTCCCAATACTATAGTGCTGGAATACATTCGGTGCCTGGAATAAAACTCACCCCCAGGGGTGGGCTCTCAGCCCGATAGTTAACAAGATGTACACTCAGACCACTCAACCCAGGATGATGCACCCACATACTCTATGTCAATACATCCCTTAGAGCGATAGACCATGGAACACCAGAGGACAAATATTCAAACTGAGGAAATGCAGCACAAACAGGAGTACATAAATATGAGGGGGACAGGGGGAAGGTTGCAGGGCAGGAGACTGGGTTAAGGTTGGACATGCTGAATGGGGGATGAAACTAAATGTACACGTTACGTTGAATGTAAAACAAGCTCTTAAAATAAAAATTTTAAAAAATGGTTAGAATGATAAACTTTTCCTATATATATATATATATATATATTTTCTCCTAATAAAATTAAGAAAAAACTATGAAGACTACCATTTTACATATTTAAAAGTAATCATAAATAAAAGAGGTAATTAAAAAAAAAGCATTCATTGTTCTATCTATAGTCTAGTTAATGGAACTAAAAAAATCAAAACAAAGAACTTTTAAATTCACCATCATAAGAGGACCCACCAACCACTTCTCGGAAGGAAGGTTGGGCAATCTACTTCCGTAGTGATACTGCCTCGGAAACCACAGTAGGTGTCTCTATGAGTTGGATCCGACTCAATGGCAGCGTGTTAAGACAAACTTGAACATTTAACTGATCCAGAATTATTAAAGAAGAAAGCTTTATCCTTTTACAAACTTCACAGATGAAAGGTAATAGTCATTTACACCACTTCTAGGTAACATGAGAATTGATAAATCAACTAGGAATCATCAACATATTTCCAAGACAATTTGTTTTCTCAATTTACCCTGTAACATTCTATGTTGTTGTTGCTATTGTTAGGTGCTGTGGAGTCACCTTCAACTCATAGCAATGCCAAGCACAACAGAATGAAACATTGCCCGGTTCTGTGCCAGCCTTACAATACTTGCTATACCTGAGCCCACTGTTGCAGCCACTGAGTCAATCCATTTCCTTGAGGGCCTTCCCCTTTTTCATCGACCCTCCACTTTACCAAGCATGTTACCCTTCTTCAGGGAATGGTCCCTTCTGACAACATGACCAGAGTAGGTGAAATGAAATCTGGCCATTCTCGCTTTCAAAGAGGATTCCACTGCACTTCTTCCAGGGCATATTCATTAGTTCTTTTAGCAGTCAGTGGTCTTCTCAGTATTATTTGTCAACACAATTCAAAAGCATCAACTCTTCTTCAGTCTTCTTTATTCACTGTCCAGCTCTCACATGCTTATGAGGTGACTGAAAATACCATGGCTTAGGTTAGGGACACCTTAGTCTTCAAGGAAACATCTTTGCTCTTCATCACTTGAAAGAAGTCTTTTGAAACAGATTCGCTCAATGCAATATGTTGTCTGATGTCTTGACTGCTGCTTCCATTGACTGTAGTACCAAGTAATATGAAGTCTTTGACAACTTCAATCTTTTCTCCATTTATCATGATATTGCTGATTGAAAGTCATCCTCACTTTCAGCAAGCAAAGTTGTGTCATCTGCATATCACAGATTGTTAATGAGTCTTCCTCAAATCCTGATGCCACATTTGTCTTCATATAGTCCAGCTTCTTGGATTATCTGTACAATCAGCATACAGATTGTACAGATTGAACAAATATGGTGAAATGATACAACCCTGACATACTGCCTTCCTGATTTTAAACCATGTAGTGTCCCCTTGTTCTATTCCAACAACAACCTCCTAGTCTATGTACAGGTTCCTCGTGAGTACAATAAGTGTTTTGGATTCCTTTTCTTCTCAATGCTATCCATAATTTGATAGGATCCAGACAATTGAATGCCTTTGCATAATCAATAAAACACAAATAAACTTCTTTCTGGAATTCTTTGCTTTCAGACAGGATCCATCTGACATCAACAATGATGTCCCTCATTCCACATCCTCTTCTGAATCTAGCTTGCATTTCTGGAAGTTCTGTCAATATATTGCTGCAACCGTTTTTGAATTATCTTCAGTAAGATTTTACTTGTGTGTGATATTAATGACACTGTTCGATAATGTCCACAACCTGTGCGATCATCATTTTTTGGAATGGGTACAAATATGGATCTCTTCCAGTCAGTTGACCAGGTAGTTGTCTTCCAAATCTCCTGGCATAGCCAAGTGAATGCCTCCAGCGGGG